CAAAGAGTTCGAAAATGCAAAGAACAACCAAACAGAGATGAAGAATACAATAATTGAAATAAAAAACACTAGAAGGCAACAACAATAGACTAAATGATACAGAAAACCAGTGAGTTGGAACACAGAATGGTGGAAATCACTGATGCTAAACAGACAGAAGGAAAAAAATGACAAGAAATGAAAACAGTTTAAGAAACCTCTGAGACAACATTAAGCACACTACTATTTGCATTATAGGGTTCCCAGAAGGAGAATAAAGAGAGAAAGGGGCTGAGAACATACTTGAAGACATAATAGCTGAAAACTTCCCTAACCTGGGATAGGAAACAGACATCCAAGTCAATATGCAAAAATAACTCAAAATGGATTGAAAACCTAAATGTAAGACCAGAAACCATAAAACTCTTAGATGAAAACATAGGCATTAACACTCTTTGACATAAATTGTAGCAATATTTTTGAGGGGTCTGTCTCTTAAAGCAAAAGAAGCAAAAGCAAAAATAAACAAATGGGACCTTATTAAACTTAAAAGTATTTGCACAGCAAAGGAGACCATCAACAAAACAAAAAGGTAACCTACTGAACAGGAGAAAATATTTGCAAATCGTATGATGGATAAGGGATTAATACCAACATATATAGACAGCTCATACAACTCAACATCAAAAACCGCAAACAACCCGATTAAAAAATGGGCAAAAGACCTGACTGACACATCTCCAAAGAGGACACGCAGATGGTCAACAGGCACATGAAAAGATCCTTATCAACACTAATCATCAGGGAAATGCAAATCAAAACCACAATGAGGTATCACCTCACAGCTGTCAGAATCCTCAAAAAGAACACAAATAACAAATGTTGTCAATGTTGTGCAGAAAATGGAACCCTCGTACTGTTGGTGGGAATGTAAATTGGTGCAGCCACTGTGGAAAACAGTATGGAGTTTTCTCAAAAAAAAAATATATATAACTACCACATGACCCAGCAATTTCACTCCTGTGTATATATATATCTGAAAAAAACCCCAAAAATATTAATTTGAAAGATACATGTACCCCCAATGTTCACAGCAGGACTATTTATAGTTGCCAAGGTATGGAACCAACCTAAATGTTCATCAACAGGTGAATGGGTAAAGAAGATGTGGTATATATGTATACAATGGAATACAACTCATCCATAAAAAAGAATGAAATCTTGCCATTTGCAACAACATAGATGGACTTGGAGAGTATTGTGCTAAGTGAAATAAATCAGACAAAGATAAATATTGTGTGATATCATGCATATGTGAAAAACTAAAAAATAAAACAAATTAGTGAATATAACAAAAAAGTAAACTCACAGAGAGAACAAACTAGTGGTTACCAGTGAGGAGAGTGAAGCAGGGG